GAAAGAGCAAAGCAGCAGGAGAAATCAGTTGAAATATTAAGTAGAAAAAGCTACAGGGCTGTATCAATATTACTGTAGAAGGATAGGAACCCCTTAAAATCCATACAGTAGAGTAGTCTGTGTAAATCAGACTCTCTCAGAAGATTTCTTAGTACTCGTGGTACAATGAAGCTTGAAGCAACAGATAACACTGGGGGCTTTGATGTAAGTACTATCTGAAAATACGTGAGCTTTTCCCTGAGCAGTACAGTAGCTGTGATATAAAATGACTCTCTGAACAGTGAATCATGCAGTTTATAGTCCTTCTGTATGTGATAAGAAGTATCAATATTCTGCCTTATTTGCTATGCTGGAAGGAAAATGCTAAAGTTTTAGAAACAGATGTTTTTCTACCAGCTTGGCCTATAAGCAGTGTTTTTCTTATATTGGTGACAGCTTTTTATTTTTCTTACTTCTGTATTAAAACAAGTCTTGAAAGTCAAGTTTAAAGTATACAAAATAGTCCCAGCTGAGTAACTTACCAGATTGTTCTGAAATCTTTATCAGTATTTTCACTGTCTATTTAGAACATAACTGGAAGTCTGAAGTACAAGGGATAAAAAAATAATTGGACAGTGATCAGAAAGAAAGCTTTAGGGTGCTACACTTAATACTGTTCTGCTGTGGTATGATCAGTAGAGTTTGAGTCCCAGTTCAGCTTACTTGAAGTGTCTGGACTTTTCTATTTCAATAGATCTAATCTTTAAAGAAGTTATTGATTCATTTTTCATTTAAGAAGCATGTGAACTCCATGTGATGATTGCTCAAATGAATTTTTCATCATTAGATGTTCTCTAAAGTAACATGTTTGATGTCCAAATCCTAGTAACCATCACTTTTTCTTAGAATACTAATACAGACTAAAAATATTTTCCTGTTCACGCTACTAGCTTACTTGTAGTTAGAATTAAATCATATCACGAGACTGACTGTTATCCAGTGGTAAGTAAAACAATCTGTCTTATGGTATTCAACTGTACTCATTTTAGCACTAAGTACTGCTACATAATTTGCAGAATATTATAACAATAGGGAGGAAGGAGCATGATTTATAGATTCAAGTTAAACTATGCATTCTACTGAAATATATCACACAGTAAAGATAATGGATTTCAACATTGCACCCTTTGTAGAAATAGAAGGAATATGGACTTTTTTAGCAATCTCTGAATTAAATAAGAAAAGCCTATAACATGCATAACAGTTTTTCCCCACTGCTCTGAAATGGAGAAGGAGCTCTGTCAGTTTGTGAAGCTCCTCATTTAGTAGCAAAATCTGTTGTGTGTTTTAAACTTAACTTCTGCCCACCTCAGTTGGCCCAGCTATGATTTATTCTGATTTTCAGTCTCTGAGTAGATAAAATCTGCGAAGAATGCCTGACTACATGCTGTTATTTTGCATTTGACGAGGACCTCAAATTTTTGCTTGTAGTGTCATGAGATGCTAACTGCTGTGTTGCATAAAATGTAAGGAGAAGTTGTCTCCATTTTAAATGTCATGAAGAAGAGGATGATCTTCTTTCTGTTACTGAAAAGGAAGGATGAAATAAATTTGTTTTTTAAAATAAAATCTCAGCTTCTAATTGGACCAGTAGTTCCAGAAATTCCAGAAAATTCCAGAAATTGGCATAATTTTTTAAAAAAGGTTAGACAATTGTTAGGGAAAACATGTTTCTGTAAAGAAAGCCAACAGAATGCTGGGTTGCATTAAAAGGGCATCACCAGCAGAGATAAAGAAGTCATTATCCCTCTCTACTCAGCACTGGTCAGACCACACCTTGAGTACTGTGTCCAATTTTGGTCCCACTATACAAAAAAGATGCGGACAGGTTGGAAAGGGTCCAGAGAAGGGTTACAAGGATAATCAGAGGACTGGAAGACCTGCAGTATGAAGAAAGGCTGAAAAAACTGGGTCTGTTCAGTCTTGAGAAGAGAAGGCTTGGGGAGGACCTTATTACTGTGTACCAGTATATAAAGGGTGGGTACCAAGAAGACGGAGTATCCCTTTTCACAAGGAGCCACGTGGAAAAGACAAGGGGTAATGAACACAAGTTGCTTCTGGAGAGATTCTGACTGAACTCCAGAAGAAATTTTTTTACCATGAGATCAATCAGACATTGGAACAATCTCCCAGGGGAAGTCGTGGATTCCCCTGCATTGGTCAGTCTTAAGAGTCAGCTTGACAGGGTGCTGACTCACCTCATTTAAACTATACTTTTACCTTGAAAGGTTGGACTACATGATCCCTGAGGTCCCTTGCAACCTGATATTCTATGATTCTATCATTCTATGACATGTTTTGTGCAAAAACAACCTGGTGCACTCTAATATATGGGCATAAACCTGGTGTTTGTAGTCTGTTTAATCTAGAAATCAGCCTTTAGTTTAAGGGGTAGGGGGGGGCTGAGTATTTACATGATACTAGTACTGCAGATTTAAGTATCTTTTGAAATGTGGAAGAAAGCAAGCTTTTATCGCTGACCTAAACTGTCTGGGGAAGTGTGACAGCTAGCATTTGCTTAGGGGTTTTTAGAATGCAAATATATGCACAAAGGGTTTGCTGTGCTTGTAGTACAGTGCATCCTTTTGCATTTTGGATGTCAAAGTTCTTGCTGATTTTAACTGATCAGCTGTTTGGGAATTCATCAGAATTTCCAGCAGAAGGAAAAGACAGCTTTTTCTACCGCTAATCAGTAGAAATAGTTTAATGAAACCAAAGTAAGAAAAATACCCAGGTGGACTTTTATTCTGTTCTTCACTTTTTTCTTATTTTGTAGTATCTGTTCAAATAATTCAGGCTTTTTAAAATCCTGTTTAAAAATTTAAAGTTTTTTTCTGTTTAAAAATTTAATGAATTTCTGTTATTGATTTGGCATTCCTTAAGGAAGTAGTTTGTGCTTCTGTTCACTCTGTGAATGGAGTATTTCTTATTTCACCCTACTATTTTGAACTTATGATAATCAGTTAAATAAATTGTATTAATTTAATTAATAAATTCAACTGAAATAGAAGTATAATCTTATAAAGCATAAAACACTGCTTCTTATTAAAAAAAGCTGAAATTTTCTAGAGACTTCTGGAATGGAATTAAAATTTTTTAAATTAAAAATTATATTTTAAAAAAATAAAGAAATACTGTTGATCTCAGTACTTACCTGACAGTACTGGCAGTACTTGTTATTTTACAGTATTCAGCTCTGTGAGAAGATTCTCTAGTTACAGAATGTGGTGCATCTGGGCAAGGTTTTCAAAACATGGTGTGTGTAAAACTTGTATAGCTTGAGGCAGTTTTCTATTGGATTTAGTAGGTGATACTTTGAAAAACAACAGCATGCAGGTTTTGCTTGGCTAAACAAAGTTTATATGGTTTTTTTTCTGATTTTAACAAACTTACAGAAGTCCTCACAAGTTTGGAAACAACATATTGGTTTAAAAAAAACTTCAAAGAAACCACTAACTTGCTGTCATGAAAACCCATTTCCTTAATTTAATTATAACTTCTTTGCAGTAGGGATGACATTTTTAAATTGAGATCAGATGGCAGATAAAATAAGTACAGTAGAATATAATATTTTTTAAAGCAGGAATCTGTGTAAACAGACAGAAATGCAATTTACTCTTCAAAATGACTCTGCCATGTTACGTTTTTATTATCCTCGCTCATATAATCTTCATCTCTTGTGTAGTATCGCATGCTACCATCGATGAGCATTCACATTACTACTAGTTCTGATATTTTTTAGATTTTGTTGTTATTCTTTCCTCCATAAGTGCTACAAAGACTCATTTGCTTAAAGCTAATATGAGAAATGGGAAAACTCGAATACTTTCTTTGTCTTCCCTCTCCCTGTCAGGTTTTCTGTATCTTATCTAAAGTAAATTTTCTGATGTATTTTAACGTTATAAACCATATTAAATATTGTATCTGAATTTGTTTCTAGCTGTTGCGAAACCAGAGATTTTCTGCTTCCTTTCATCACGCAGTTGAAACAGTTGTTAATATGCTAATGCCACACATCACTCAGAAGTACAGAGACAATCCAGAGGCTTCAAAAAATGCAAACCATAGCCTTGCTGCCTTTATAAAAGTAGGTACACAAGCAAATCGGGCTCAGTGGTTACTTTTTCAATAATACTGCTTCTTCATGGAATTTAAAGAATCTTAAAGCCAACTCATATAAATCTGAATATGCGTAATTCCTTTAAAATATAATTCTGTGTTGAATTAAAATGCATTGAAGTATCATCTGTATCTTCTGTAATCAAGAAGACATCTGTTCAAAAGTTTGATATTTTAAAAAATTAATTTATATTTTATCCAAAATGTATTTTGATTTTTCTTTTTTTTAACAATATCATCTGGCTTACCTTCTAATTCTATAAAAGCTTCATACATTGAGTAATGTTTTATTTGTATGCATTTTATGTAGACAGACTTTTGCTCTCTTTTTTCTGTCAATATGATCCAGTAGGGAGAAATATGATGGGAAATAAATGGTAGATGAAGCTGCTAGTGGCATGTAATTTTTGTTTCTGTCAAGATAGAGTTCCTCTCATCAAACTGCTTTTTATCTGCAGTTTGTTTGCATTCTACACCGTAAGGGAAAAATTGGTATCCATATCTGTATACACGTATTTAGTTTGCTTGTTTTATTGATTTTTATATTCAAACTGAAATATCAATAATGTGTTTGATAAATAAACTTATAAAATACAGAAATGTAATTACTGAGCACTGAGACAGTACTAAATCAATTCTATTCTTGGTTTTGCTTGTTTTCCTCAGAGGTGTTTTACTTTTATGGATAGAGGCTTTGTTTTCAAGCAAATCAATAACTACATCAGCTGCTTTGCCCCAGGAGATCCAAAGGTACTCACTGTTTTTAGAAGTTGCCTCTTCTTGATGCATGTGGATAGAGTCCTGCATTAAGTCTTCAGAGTTCTTCCCAGTTACATTAGAAGTCCCTGTGCTGTGCCTCGACCACTTTTTCTTTCTATCAAATCACTTTTTCTTATTTTGATTCCTATCTTTGAGTGCAAATTTACCACTCTAGATCGTGTGTATTGTGAAAGTGGTGGGGGTGCAACGCTGAGCAGAAATTTTAAGCATGAACGTAAGAAAGGCCAAAGTTGGTAGAGTTGATATGTGCTCAGTTTCTGGACGTTTACTGTAGTGGTGAAAACAGGTACCACATGTCCAAAGAAACTACTTCTGTGGGTCCAAAACTCTTTAACTTCAATACATAATGTGCTAGTAAACTTAAATAACTTTGGACAATGGGAACAGTGCATAGAACTATAGCCAGTTGTCAAGTATGAAGTATGCTGGAATTATTTTATTCTGACATATGGAACTTTAACCATGAGGTCCGCATCCTTCATACTGCAAGACTGACAGAAACCACCCTTTCATGTTAGAAAGTTGTGTTTAATGTGTTATTCAAATTACCGTCTCGGTTGTTTAATTTATACTTAATATTATTTTTGCAGACTCTTTTTGAATTCAAATTTGAATTCCTCCGTGTAGTCTGTAATCATGAGCACTACATACCTTTGAATCTACCAATGCCATTTGGAAAAGGCAGAGTTCAGAGATACCAAGGTAAATTCTTCCGAAGAAGTGTATGGTGTATTTCTTAGGCATCACCTTTTTAATATTAGATGTGTAGACTGTGTAACTTCAGGTCTATGAGATGTTGAAAACTTCAAAATTGTTAAATGGAAGCCTAAAGTTGTGATCTTTTCATTTGAATTTAAAGGAATAGTTTAGGTAGCAGAGTAATCTATACAAAGTATCTTGTCATGGAAAAATATGGTAAACTACATCCTTGACTGCCTCCTTTTCCTGTTCTGATTATTAAGTTTGGGGTTTTTTTTTCAAGAGTTAGCTTTTAATTCACTAGCTGCAGAGGCCTGCAACACTTCTGTAGGTAGGTTTACAGTGTGCAGCCTCGTGTAGGTAGTCTCCAAGTAGAGTACCAACCATCAACCACCACCAACCTTTAAGTCCAATGATCCACCTATTTCTTTTGCACATTTAGGTGTCTATTCACCTAAACTGTAATGTCCCAGTTGGCATACAATGACCACATGGATTTCTGCTATTCTCCCCTTATCCACAGATTTAGTGAGCTCCATTGTAGAAGACAAGTTAGTCAAGCATAATTTACTCAGGGTAAATCTATCCTGGCCATTCCCAGTCACTCTTCTCCTTCACTGGCTGAAAAATGGCTTCCAAAAGGACTTGCTTCATTACTTTTTCAAGGACCAAAGTGAGGCCTGTTAGTTCCCTGAATTATTCTTACCCTTTTTTGAAGATGTGTGCAATGTCTACATTCAGTCATCGCAATGTCCCAGTTATGGGAGACCCCTTATCACCATGGCTTAACAAAGATGTTAGTGAGTGATCTTCCAGTAATATCTGCTAATTCTCTCGGCATCTTATCCAGTGCTGTAGATTTGCTGGAGGTCTCTTGAGAGATACCTGACCCTCATCCACTGCTGATAATTCTCTTCCTTGAAGCTAGTCTTTAGACTCTTAAGGCCTTGGAACCATGGCAGTGAAGGATAAGGTAATGAAGGTATGGACTACTTCAGCCTTACCCAAGTCCACTGTCTCTAAATCACAGTCCCCATTCAGCAAATATCCCATCTTTTCCTTATTTAGGCTTTTAATGCTAATGAAGTGGTAGAAGCTCTTCTTGTTGCCATTGAAGTTCATTACCAGTTTCAGCTGTAGCTGAGCTTTGGCTTTCGTCAGATTGGTAGAAAAGGTTTTGGGACTAAGAGCTGGACAGCTGCATAGAACTTGTTTCTGTCTTTGGCTTTTTCAGCCTTCAGGAGTGTCTTGGGTATAATAACACTGCATAAATATTTCCACAGAAAAGGGACTATGAGTTGTTGGTTTAGGGATCCTAAGAAAAGAGACAAACTAGAGAAAATAGTGTTTCTGATTACACAATAAAGAACAATGTAGAATGCTGCTCCCTGGTGAACTAGGAGTTCAGCCAGGAAAGATGACCTTTATCGGAAGTGTTTCTGGCTCTGTTTTGCTGTCTCAAGGAAAAGAGATCTTGGGTGACGTGTTCAGCTCTGAAGTGAATTACAAGAAGGCCTGTACAACATCTGTGTTGTTTTTTGTTTCTTTCTGGCTTAATGGATTCTCTTACTGGGAGAGTTCTTTGAAAAATGAAAATGCTTTGAGATTAGCATCTATTATTGTATTGAACGATGACAGTGAATATGAGAAACCCTTGAACAGCTGAAATTTTAAACAAATATACATTATAATAAATAGGATCTTCAGGCTAAAGTCTCTTAAACTGTCATATATTCAGTACATACATGAACTGAATTATTTTATTACACAAAAAATACTTCTAAAAAGGGAGCAGGTTGACTTTGTTAGATGTGCTGGGGTTTTGTGTGTGTACATATCTATATAATATTTATATATTATATGGGGTTTAATAAACATTTACAGTTAGTTTACTGTTAGAAGTGCTTTGTGAAATAAAATTGCATTGCAGTGGTTTAAGCACAAATGTTCAAATGAAATTATCTTTAACTCCAATTCTATTGCAATTAACACTGACTATATAAATATTTCTGGAAAATGTAGTATTGTTTAATTGTAGCAGAAAAGTTGTCTACTGTATTACAATGCAGGTTTAATTTTCATAGATTCATTTGTGTTATCTTGTTTAAATATTGTGTCCTTTTGTGTTCTGATACATTGAGAAGAAATTGCTTGATTTAGACACGCGTTGTAAAGGCAATGTCTTCATTACATGTTTACTACACTGATAATTTTTTGACCATTTTCTTAGAGCATATCAATAAACAGATCACAGTTGTTAGCAGGCTTTATAGTCTATATTCATAATAGATGCATATGTGAGATAATGAAGGAGGAGCTTAAAACTGCAGTACAGAAATTTAAAACTTCTTAATCCATGTTTTGCTTGCAGTCCTTCATATTTACTGATCTGGGACTAAACTACAGACTCCTACTGCTTTTACCATACATCTAAATTCCTGAAAGAATTTAGAAACAACCTTTGTGCACTGTGTGTGTTTCCAGTGCCTGAATATGCATTGAAAATTTGAATTTGGAGCTATAAGATTCTGGTCTGGGTAAATTTAATAGGAAAACTTTTGAATATTAGGCAGTATTTAAAATATTTTTTTTAATTTAGTTAACTTTCTCCAGCTTCTCTTGATTGAATATATGTCATCATTGTCTGTTTATTAAATAAATCATTATGCAGTGAATGGGGCTAGGGATATAGGAATAACTATGATTATGTATTATATATATGAATATATATTAGTTTGTCAGTAATGTTGGAAACTTTTTAGTTCAACCTGAAGTTAAGTAATAAATTGATTTTAAATAATACCATTCCTTACATAAAACTTGTACTTTACTTCCAGACCTTCACCTGGACTATTCATTAACTGATGAGTTCTGTAAAAATCACTTCTTAGTGGGACTGCTTCTAAGGGAGGTGGGCAATGCATTACAAGAGTTTAGAGACGTGCGGCAGATTGCCATTAGTGTGCTCAAGAATTTGATGATAAAGCATTCTTTTGATGATAGATATACTTCCAGGGTAAGTGTATTGCTATGCTAGTAGAACAAAATAATAAAGATTACGTGTGTATACACACAAAGTTTTTTCTTTCATAAAAAAACTTGTTAATTTGTAGCAATGCTATTTCTGTTCAGACTGTGATGAAAATAAGCGTGAAGACTGTATCACAATCAATCTGCAAATCCTGTATTTTTACCAAATGAAAGCACGACACACCTTTTAATGTAATGACATGTTTATTACATTTTAGGACAGTGTAATCTAACTGCTATTTTTGAAGTCATCAGATGTTTATGAACAGTTTTAAAGCTCTTAATACTTGACAGGTGTCCTTTGATCATCTATTATTCATAAAATGAGTATAAGAAAGCTACAAGTCATGGTAGTAAATGTTGAGTGATTTTTTTTTTTATTTTCCTGACTTGTTTTTTAACATCAGCTGTGCTGTGGAGAAGCCATCACACTTTAATGGAAGATGTCATTAATTTATCAGGCTAATGTAATATTAATTTATTTAGTCTTAGCTAAATTCACATTAATTTAGTTTTTTTCTGCATTATATTAGAATAGTAAATAAAATTTTACTTCTGTAAATTAGAATGAAACACAGCGATGATCACTGCTTTTGCAATTTATGAACTTGTCAATGTGGGCTCTGGCTTGGCAAATATTTATTAAGTGCTCTTTTTTTGTAATTTAGGAGTAAATAGATTAAATTGATGATTAAAAATTAAATCTGTAATTCGTTAATGAACTGTTAAACTCTATTTAGAACCATCAAGCAAGAATAGCAACTATGTATTTGCCACTCTTTGGACTACTCATAGAAAATGTTCAGCGAATCAATGTTAAAGATGTGTCTCCGTTTCCTGTTAACCCTTCCAGCAATGTGAGTGACCATTTCTATTTGGTATTCTGAATTATTTTTATCATAGTTTATTGGTAACATGTATATAAAACACTGCATACTTCTGGCAAACAAAGAGTTTCCTAAACTTCAGAATTCTGTGTGTTTGTTTTCTGTGCTTTTTCTGAGCTTAAAAGCTTAGTTAACCTTTTTGGTTTCGGTTACAGTTTCTCTTGTCCAGCTAAGTTATGCCTAACATGATAATTGGCTAGTTTGGTCCTACATACAGGTCACAGTGCCCTTATTGATCTCTACTTGAATCTGAAGTTTTCTGGAGAATGCTAGGTCACACAGATTGCCACAGCATCAGTCTAATGCTATTTGATTATACTGCCATGTAATATGATGCTTTTTCTGTATTTCTGGTGCATGTGCCTGCATTTCAAGATAAACTATAGACCACTCAGTTTTGGTAAAATTTGTGTGAGGAGTTTTCATTAAATTGTCTTTGTTTTTTACTCAAGAATTACACTTCTCTTTAGTCTGCCTACCAGTTTATATAAGCAGTTTGCCTGTATTGTAGATCCTGGTGCTGGAGGCACTTGCACGTACTTCATTTTTATGCAAGAGGATACTCCCCTGACATCTAACACAGAGAGAATTGGTTATGTCCACTAAAATCCCAACAGATTCAGTAGCTGCTGTTGCTGTTAAGCAGAAAATATTGTATATTTGTGGTAGCTTAAAAAAAAAAATCTTAATTTTCAATTCAGTCCAACACTTAAATAAATGAACTACAAAAATGATTAAATTTATAGAAATAAGAGAAGAATTTTTGACCTTAAAGGAGTGTGCTTTTGGAACAGCAGTAGTGTGAGAGATCTATAAGAGAATGAATTCAAATGGAGTTTGTGAAAGTGCATATTGGTACGTTATAGTTGCATACAGTTATTGAATCTAGGATTTAATTATTAATGTATTGCATTTTTTTGCTATATCTTGCTGTGTTCCACTTGGTATTAAGAAAGGAATTCACTCTCTTCCAACAAGAGAAATGTTTGAATATTTGAAATAAAAGTAATTAGGGTCCTCTGGAAATATCTGTTTCATTGTGTTTAAAATTCAATGAAATACTCATTTCTTCAATGTTTCCTGAGATATCTTAAGTTTTAGGCTATCTCGAGCTTGTGAAAATTCCTGAACATCTCATTCCATATTTTTGAGCATATTTAATAGAAATTAAAATTTAAGAAAGAAATATATAACAAATACTGCTCTAGTAGGTAAAGTATGTAATATTCACTAAGTCCATTATGTGGAAAACAGCAATCACATTTTCCTCTTGTTTCCAAACAGAGTGCAAAGGATGATGCACTTAATTTGCCAACTGCAAGTCAGCTAGTAACACCACAAAAATCAGGAAACACATTGGATAACAATCTTCCTAAAGATCTATTTGGTGTTATCTCTGGCATTGGTAAGCACTTAAAAAATAAAATCATTTAAAAAAGAAACGAGTGCTCTTTTTCACTTGTTACCAGAAATATTTGTTCTGTGTCCAACTTTCATTGCTTTCTGCATATATACTTGAATGTTACTGCTACTTTCATTACCAGAACCCTAATGCCATCAACTGTTTGGCGTGAGCCAGAATTCCCAGTCTGTACGTGAAATCTTTCTTTTGGAATCTTTTTGGGTTTGCTTATCTATTTGAAACAAAAGCTATCACCTGGATAGAGTAGCTTTTTCCCCCATCAAAGGTGATAGCTTTTGTCTTGCTGCAGAGAAATAGGCGACAAGACTGGCCTTAGTCACTTATGGCAGGAGTGCCGTAATCCGTGATTTTGTACATGATAATAGAGACCACATCTGAGTGGGATGCTGCTTGTGCACACCAGTGGGCATCTTCCTATCTGTCCTCTTAATGTGTTTTCCTGTTTTTGTCTGCTGGAATTAGTTGGGTCACTTACTAGTCAATTAAAAAAAACAAATTATGATGAAAAATAGGAAAGGGGAGATTTTTAAATATACATTCTTCATTTAAGTGTGTATGTTTTGCTACATATGTTTTTTTTTACATGTGTATATGAAGTTGTGCAATACATGTCTGTGTGTATGTATGTACAAATATACTTTCCTGAAACTCTGTGATGGGTTTGTCTTCATTAAAAGTAACTAAATGGAGTCAGTTTTTTGCCTTCTTAAAAAATGTATATGTATATGGTGGTTTTAGAAGTCTGACTAAACTATGGAGTGATTTTTTACACTATATGTATTGTTTGAGATTTTTATATTGTTTTGGGTTGTTTGTTGTTTTTTTTTTTAGCTTCCCCATACACCACATCAACTCCCAATGTTAATAGCGTGAGGAATGCTGACTCAAGAGGCTCTCTTATAAGTACAGACTCGGGAAACAGTCTCCCAGAAAGACACAGTGAGAAAAGCAATTCTCTTGACAAGGTAAAAAAAGCAAACCAAAATAAAAAATCCAAAGTGTAAAATTTCATATTAAGTCTCATAGGAATTAACTTCTCTAATCTCCATTGGGAGTGGGATTTCTAGAATAACTGCAGAGCAGTATTTTACATAAGATTTTCTTTTACAAAATAATTATCATACAAACTCTTTTTGCATATTTATTAAGTTGTTTTGCAGAAAATACAAACAGATTTTCCATGTAGAGACATAAGCAAGCAGTTGTTTCCTTTGCTAGAGAAGGGCACTAGGTGAAGTGTATTGAATTTCGCTTGAGAACTGAATTCTAGTTAGTACAGCTTTGATTTTGTGGAGACCCTCATTCCATCCTTTTCTATATACAATATGCGTAGCGTTTTTTAAATGTTGAAAAACCAGTTGCTGTGCTTTCTCTAGTTGATTTCTTTTATATCAGTTTGACTTTTCTAAATCATTTCACTTGAAAGCAGTTACAAATTAGGACCTCTGGCTGCAGTAGCTCTGAGGTATTCAGTCGTGTCTTTCTAGAGTTTGTGTTGATACTGATCACGTTTCATTTTCTTAGATCTTGTTGTGCAAGTCACAACATGTTAACTTTTTCCCCTTGACTCTGACATGCCTTCGTGTGGCAGAGAGAGAAGCTTCTCAGAAGGCACTCTGCTCATGCTATGCGCCCTAATGGAGAAGAAGAAGAAAATTCTCACCCTGCAAAGAAAAACCGTGTTACTATGGATTTTTCACTTCTGACAATTCCAGCTTTGCCAGAGAAAATTTTGCATGCAGCTTTCTCTCTTCAGTTACAAGAAGTATTTGATTTTTGTGCTTGGTATAGTTCAGCTTCTGAGTGAAGTGTGTGATCAGTAGTTTTGCCACTTCTTTGCAACAGTTGAATCTCAAGCCAAATATGTACAATACCATGTAAAATACCTTTAAATGCCAAACCTGGAATAGTTCATGCACATGGTTTAATTTAAGCATAAAAATCCAATCACCTTAAACAACAGCAGAATTTGAGTCTTGGGGTCTTTAACACAAATAGAACCAAATAATCTTTTTACATTGACCACGTAAATAAAGAAATATCTTGTGCATACACTGTTGCTAAATGGCAATGCTGTCATCTATTACTTAGTTGTCATGTTAATTACTAAAGGGTTTTCAAAGGAGTCAGCATCCTTTGAAAATTCTGATCTGGTCTGGCAATTTAGGTAATACAGGATTTATGTTTTGCATGCTGTTAATATTTTCCCTGAATAATACTTAATCCTGGCTTTTTATTCGTTGCTTTCTGAACTTTCTAGTAGATCAGTTGTTCAGTGCATGTTATCTTCGAGTTTCTGCTCGTTGCTTGATATCGTTACTGAAGACCCATGTTTTTATTTTAATGTTTCTTTTGGAATAACCTGTAGATCTATACTTGTGTAATCAGAATTGTCTGGAAGTATATCAGTTTTAATATATGCACACTTTATTTTAAATTAAGCTTGTGAGTAGCTATAGTGCTACTTTTATCCTATTTTTATAGGTGTACATGTTCACCTATTTTAGAAGCAATATTATCTAGTGCTCTGGACAGTATCCAAAAGTCTAGGAAAGTCAAATTCTGTTTCTGCTCTGCCACCCATTAATTTCCTGCTCTATTTCAGTATCCATAAAGCTGTATAGTAGCACTTCTTTGTTCACCAGAGATATTTCAAAGGTAGACAGACAGTCTTTAGAGTTCTTTAGACTCTACAGCAATCAGGCTTTATATAGGTGTTCATTTCCTCCTAAATTTCAGTAACTGACTAGTATTAATCATAGTTTCACATTCAGTTTCACTGCGCATCTGTTCAATGACTACTATGTGACACATTCACACAGAATGTTTTAGGACAGCATTTTTTTCCTTTTACATGGAACTCGTTGAAAGGCTCAGCAGTCAATTGATGCGTATGCTGTGAAATGTTCCCTCAGGGATTAGCATGTCTCCTGCTTTCCGTGAGGAGTGTTCCTGGAAGGGTTGTTCTGCCTTTGAGATATTGGCACTTCTTACTTTGTTGATGAAACCAAGCACTTTTCTCCCTTGAGTCTGTTTTTTGTTTTTAGGATGTTTTTCTAATTTTGATGTGAAGGATTTCTTCCAACCCTGATATGTGTCCTTAAAAAGGTCATGGAGCCAAGATGATCCAGCTTTTTTGTAGAAACCAAAGAGTTGCAAAGATCAATTATACCAGACTGTTGACATTTCAGAGAACTGATTACACATCAAAAGGGTGTTTTTGTTTGGTTGGTTTTCTTTTTGGGCTGACTTTTTTTTTTTTAAGGAAAGGGCAAGTAGTAGTTAATCTTCCAGAATGTGTATTATTGCCATTCATGTATGTTTTTCTTGAGGTTCTTACATCTTTAAGTGGAAAGAATTTTGTAGAGGCAAGTCTGTCTACAGAGTTCAGCATAAGTTTCTTCAAAAGCAAAGGAGCATATATGTATCACCTAACAGTAGCATTTATTTTTTTAAGTGTTTCATCTAAGCACAAGGCGTATGCCTGATTTCTACAATGTGGGTATCTGTATAATTAACTTGATTAATAATCACTGTTAGGTAACTTTCCCCTCTTACTTCTCTCTCTGGGGGAAAAACATCATACAGAGAAGGATATAAAAATAAACAAAGGTAAAGAGGCTTAATTTGGTATACTTCTTGTGTGTAGTGTGTGTTTTAGTGACCTGTCTCTACATGAAACATTTTTGTCTTCGTTCTGAGATCCTTTTTCTGTTGCAGGAATTAATAAGGCAATTTAAAACATGTTAGTTTATTATCAGTTAAAGAACACTTTAGCCAAAATATGTCTGTTTTCTTTTCAGAACCAACAGAGCAGCACTTCAGGAAGTTCAGTTGTTCGATATGACAAACTTGACCAAGCAGAGATCAAAAGTCTGCTCATGTGTTTCCTTCATATTTTAAGAAGTATGTCAGAAGGTAGGTAATTCCACACATTTTTCATAAATTTGAAATTGTGTTAGATTTACGTCTGTGATTTTAATACATTTTCAAAGTCAGCAGAACATTTTACATGTAGGTATCGTGTTGTGTTTTGCACATATGTGTGATTGGTGAAATTAAACTCTGACTTAAACCTTGTAAGCATTAAATGCTCATTATTCCTTCAAAGTGTGACACTCACTTAGGGGCTTGGTAACAAAATGAATATCTGTGTGTGATTTTACGGTCCAGTTGGGAAAATGGAAGTTTTCTTTACAAAAAATAATAAAACTCAAAATATCTTTTTCACTGTTTTACACTTTGAAATATATTAGTCAGAATTTCTTGAAAATTCAACTTAGATTTACATAAGCACAGTGGCAATTTTTTGGTCTCAATTCTCCTGGGAAAGAAAAAGTGTCAAATAAATGTTGCCACACATCTTTGTAATAATTTTTAATTTGTTAACTAGTTGTGAACATTTTTGGCAAAAGAGGCCATGTCTTGGCTATGTAACTACAAGCTTTGTAAAAAATAGCCTTTTTTGAAATCTGTGCAAATAAACAAAATCTGAAACCTGTGCTGAAATACTACCTATAGTAAAGTATTATAAATTTAAAAAGCAGAAATCGTAAATTTGAATTTAAAAAATGTTGAGACCAGTCTATAAAAAAGCAGGTTATAGGAGTAACAGTCCAAAATATACTGACGTCTTACATTTTTAGAACACTGTAGTCACTACTGACTATACAATTATTACTATTTAAAATGTGAAATGGTATGGGAATATTGTGAAGTAATTAAAAGCATATAGTAGAAGCTCATTTTGAGAACTGATATGTGCATTTGTATAATCAGCTTGAAGTAAAATTTTAAAATAGTGACAGTTATCTGTACCCCACAAGCCATTTTTTGTTTTTTCCAAATTCTCATTATCTGAAAACCAAGGACTGGTGTCAACTCTTTTTCTTAGTAGTTTTGTGTGTTTGCTGCCTTTGTCTCATTTTTAATATTTTTCTTTTTCCTAGATGCACTGTTTACATATTGGAACAAGGCCACAAAAGCTGAACTCATGGACTTTTTCACGATCACAGAGTAAGATTTTTAAGCTTGTCATAAAATAATATGTTTGGCTATGCTGTTCAAAACATGAGTGTGAATTTAAGTGTGTATGTATGTTTTTATTTATTTGTTTGGAAAAATAATGCCATCTTGGTCCGTTTAGAAGTTCTTAACTTGATGAGCACGATTGCATGTCTGTCCAATTCCATGATCGTTTCTGCAGTTAGGCTGTACAGAAGTGAACTCAGGAAGTTCCTGAACAGCGAGTAGTGCGTTTTCTAGTGTGATCTACTGAGATGATACGGTTGCATGTGAAAATTGATTGAATTGCCTAACTTCGGAAACAAAGGGTTATGAAGCATCCTCCTAGCATTCCTCTTGTGTCTTCTCCCATTCTGTAAGGGAAAAGATAGAGGATGAAACCAGTATTTGTTATCAATGGCTACACTCCATCCCTATGCACACTTAGTGTGCTTGTTCATGAGAAGTGACTGATACATTAATAAAAAGTGAAGAAGGCACTGTTTGCTTGAAGTGGTGCACCACAAGAAGCCTTTCTGCTTGCCTTGCTTGTTTCACTGGCTGCTTTCCTTTCTTTCTGTAGTAGAAGCTCAATCAATATAAGGTCAGTTGTTACTTGTGTTGTGGAATGTGCTACTCAAGGTCTTTTTTAGGACTATATTGTACATAGTGTTTTAACTCAATATTTGAGTACATCTGGCATGATATTGATGGTACCAGAGGCAGAACTGAACAAGTAAATAAGCCCACTTAGTAGACTCTCTGAAGCCTGAGGTGTAAACTGTACAGAATCAGTCGTGAACAGTATTTTGCCATTAGATATTTCTTACTTAAGGGCTGGATAGGATTAGTTTATGATCAAAACAGTAACCTCAAATTACTAATTATTAAAGAAGATTTCCATCACAATAGCAGTATATGGAATAAAGAATAAATTTTCCATTTTGTTAGTGCAGTGGATGATATCACAGGAACAAGGCTGGTAAAAGTCTACCTCCGTCAATTCTAGGAGTATTTTGCCAGTACCAATAATGCTCATTTTGATGGTGGTTTTTTTTTTTTAGTACAGATCACTACAATAGTTTCTCATTACCTCTGTAAGACAGTATTTCTGGTAGGTAGATAGTCACCACGCAAAGAACTGTTTCTGAAAAACTTAGAATCTAAAAAAGACAAAAAGATATGAGAAAGGGGGTTGAGGTTAGTTTGCAAATAGAGTGACAAATCTGGGGGAGGCAAACACCATTCTGACTCTGCAGTTTGGAGACTGCTCATCTACTTAATGTCTGAGTACAAAGTGACACTGAGACCACTTGCCAGTGTCCTCCCTCATTCACAACTGGCACATGGAAGAGAAAAGCTGAAAGGCAGTTTTCAGGCTGGATTTACACTTTAAAGAAGAGCTTTTTGAATATTCTACAAGGGAAGTTGTATTAAGTGTTCTGAATTACCAGGATAATTACTTACAGTGGGAAGAGTCAAAATCATTATTACAGCCTCCGTTCACACCATCTTTCTTGATCTGGAAGTGTGACTTCTAGTTTATTAGTCATCAGTGTTGTGTACCTACCACTTCTGAAGACAAGCAGAGGCACCTGGCAAATTTGCCTTTATTATCTTCTTATAAAAGCAGATTCCCTTTAGAAAATAATTCTGTCTGAAACCCTGTTATTGTTATCCTGGAATCTGGAGACCAGAAGAAAAAAACCAAAACCAAACAAAAAACCCACCAAAAAAACCACCTGTAATTAAGATTTTTTAGGTCAAGGGGAAAAATGCAGAATGTATTGCCCTTATTTTGAACCCTTATACATGTTTTACAAAATATGTGTGTACATGTCATGTCTGGTTATCTCTTTGCTTCTGTCCTTCATGTAACTTGTCCTGGATTGCTGTCGTTTGTAAATAACTGTAACTGTGGGCTTCATTTTACTTTACGTAATGAGATTTTGTCTGAGATAGTTGAGGTTAAGCATTTCTTCTCTATAAATACTAAAAATCTGTACAAGATGAAGCACTTTGAACTCACTGATTACGGTTTTCTAAGGTGTTTTGTTTTTTCACCATTTGTCCCTTCTACTTTGTCACTGTTAGACTCCCACTAGCTGTTTTGATTCAGAGTGTTGAGATAGGTGTGCTCTGGAGGCAGCCTTATGTACCTTTTGCTCTTCATCTCAGTTTGCCCAAAACAACCACCCTCTGTGACTGATTTCAGAAGAGCTATATTTACCTTTGGTTGGCTTGGGGGACTGGAAGGGAATTTTAAAGGTGGGAGAAATAAAGTTTTATGCCTTAAGATTTTAAAGCTAAACAAAAGTAAGTTTAATAAATCCAATGTATGTAAATGTAGAAGAGATTGTTTTAAGTGTTGCTTCTCTGACTTATGTGTTTTCTGCAGAGTATGCTTACATCAGTTCCAGTACATGGGAAAACGATACATAGCCAGGTACTGTGTGGAATTTGAATTTCACTGTCTTGCTCACTAAGGATAACAGTGTGTACAATATGCCTTGAATCTCTATTACAAATAAATCGCATGTGTTATTGTGAAATGATACATAACAGTTTGAAGTAACTGGTTTCTGTATTAACATATCTGTTTCCTGTCTGAAAGTTTGCTATCCGTTAAAGAATGATGTGTGTGTTGTGTTTATTACCAATTACTTTAAAATCCACCCTTTAAATGGTATCTTTTTACAGCATTTTTTTCCTTGAAATAGTGTCTTTGAGGAAGAAATGTTATGAATTAATTGTTTTGTTTATTCACTTGGCCATAAAACCATGTCTGTTGAAGTGTTTTTGAGATTTTATATATTGTGTTTTTATGGAAAGGTGAGTAGTGAACATTCCAATGCTGCTGTTTTTCAGTTTGAAGTCTGAAGTCCTGTTAGATACCTGTACATTCCCATGGAAGGCTGTTTAGGAGAAAACCTATGGAAGTCAGAAACATATACTAAATTAATTGAATATCTTTGCATTAATGTGACTTTTAATGTGAAGTAGTTTTTTAATAGGGTAAAATATAGCAGCTTATTTAGGCCTTGCACTGTGGTTGACATGGTAATACTGTTATAATTAAACTTGTGGGGTTGAAATGCTGGCCCTTGAACTCACTGAGGAAGTTGTTGCTGGCTTTGGGTGGCAAAGCATTCTAAGTGAAATGTTAGCTTTTTTGCTTTTAACTTAGATTTAATGATATGTGAATCTCTTTCTGTAAACAACAAACTTAACTATCTCCTTGGAAATTTTTCAGAAAAATATTTCATCTCTCTTCGCATACCCTAAAAAAGTCAAAGGCCAAAATAGACCAGTCTTTCTTAAGGCTTTGATTGTAACCTTTGTGTTTAAATGTACTTCAAACTCTGGATTTGCAGGAGTCTGTAATTTTCAAGCTTTTTGTAAAAATTCTTCACACTAATTTGTTTGACTAGTTTGTAGAGAGGACTACCACACTTTGTTTTTGTTTACTGATCACCTAGTCTGTGTGCTGCATGTTAACACTAAAAACGTTAAGCTATAGCAATCATCTGGTGTTCTGCAGAGATACTGAATTCTCCCAGTAAATGTAGCTGTTGAGTCTTTCACATTGTCATTACACTGAAGTATATCACAATCAATGCACGTGCTCATAAAATACCCAAATGACAGAAAATGAAAGGGAACAGGGAATTCTGTAATTCAAGCACTGGTTCTCATTTTTCATCAGCTCTGGTGGTGGTACACAATAGAAAGTTGGCCTATACTGATTGCTAACACAGATCACTTTTCTGTTTTCTTCACTTGATTGCTGCAAGTTTAACAAAGTACATGGCTCTTCTCCCTTCCTGCTTGGGTAAGGTGTACATGATAATACCTCAGTTAATTTCTGCTCTCCTGTTGCATGTATGCTTTCTAATTTTACCACTGTGTGTCCTTTGCGAAAATTTTAGGAACATTTAAATCAAAATAGAGGATTTGGTTTTGCATTCTGAATATTTTCAGAATATTTATGTTCTCAAATATTTGTTTTCAAAATCTCTGAAGTGAATTCGGCTCTTTAAGAGCAACTGCCTGTGTGCTTTTGCTTTCATGCTTCGAGGTTTTAAGCTGTGCTGCTTTTTAAAGCTACCTATTTTTGTTTTACAAATAAAACAGTAAATAGGTTGCATTATAATTCTTTCTATAAAACTTCTAGTGCTTAACTAACACTTCCTGTCTTGCTGCAGGTTGACATGTCTAACTTTTGCTTCTATCCCATTTCACCCATCTTGCAGGAACCAGGAGGGGTTGGGATCCATAGTTCATGATCGAAAATCTCAGACATTGCCTGTTTCCCGTAACAGAACAGGAATGATGCATGCCAGATTGCAGCAGCTGAGCAGCCTGGATAACTCTCTCACTTTTAACCACAGTAAGTCTCATGACATGATAACAGTCATCATCCTCAACCAGTACCACAACACACCAGAGGCAGGTCCCAAAGCCACACCAGTGCGTTTCAATTACCTTTATTGTTCTAGGTCAAACGAATAGCTGGAATCAGTCGATGGTCTGTTCCCTGCTTTATGATAGAGCAATCAATGCTGCTGATGCCAGAACATGGAGCATGGTTGACTACAGCATATTTTAAAATCTTATTTCGTATTTTTTCATGATACGTACTTCAACGTTGTGCTGCACATAGTTACAAAATTTACTTATTTTTTTTCTATATGCTTTATTAAGCTTCTTTTTTTTTCCTGTACTTGGTCTTATAAATGATTAGTCTAAAAGTAAAAATATGCCCTCTGACCATATCTCCATGTTTTGACATCACCTAAGGAGAAATAAGTTTCTTAGAATTTCTACGGAGATTGTGAAGCCCATAATTTGGTTTGTCTGGAAGTGAAAAAGCGTCCAATAATGAAGTGATTTTTCTGTTTTCAGTGTGAGAAAGATATCAAGTATTCTTGGAATTTCTGTAGACAATGGTAAGATTTAATCAGGTTGAAGTCAGCTTGTATAAGTGCTGTATTGAAAACTAAATCTGCTTGTGGCCTATCTTTTTAAACATACTGCTCTTAAATTGCAAAATGTACTGTGTGTAAAGTATTCTGAAGCACCACTTTTGAATTTTCAGCTTCAAAAAAACAATGAAACTGGTTGACTAATCCAGTAAAATACAACAATGGTACTGAAAAGAATTGTGTGCAGTAAAGCAATTATTTAAGTTAACTCTATGTTCACTGTGTTCATCCTTTTATTTCCCAAAACATATCTAACTGTCCCTTAAAATCTTTTAGCTCATTATCTGTAATAAAAAGCAAGAGTTAGTCTAATTGCACAAGACTTGCCACATAGTCTAGTGGAAAACTAGAAAAAAAGCAAACCCTAAAAAAAAATATAAAATACTACCCAACCTCTCTGTTTATAAATGCATTTTCATGCTTGTTTTAATATACAAAACACGATTCTTTGATTTTAAATATATCAGAAAACAATATAGCTGTGCAAATTACGTTTTTTTCTTGTAATCAGTCTGCTACTGCTGTGTATTTTTTAATTGTTTTTTGATACACAAAAGAAAGAGCTTTTAAACTATCTGACTACACATTGAGTAAGGTAAACTACTTTGTAGATGTAGGCTGATGTTAAAAAAAAATCTCTGGGAAATAAATAACACAGCTGTTTCTGGGCCCTGTGCAAAGAGATTTCCAGAACTTGGCAAAGTTTACTGATTTTTTTAGGAAACGGTGAGCTGAAAGATTTTAATAAATGCATGCTTACGTAAAAATAAAGTTTCTGTTCTTTTCTATCTGAAGGAATTTATGAAGGAAGGTGTCTCATTCAGATAACTTTGTATAAAGTGATAGGAGTTTTTTTTTCTAATGTTGGATGTTTAATGAATATCAGGGTAGTTTTGCAAAGTGAAAATATGTTGCTGTAAAAGCCATGTCAAATGTGAAATTGCTTTTTATATCTTTGGTCTTGTTGTCTACCTTTTAGTTTTGTTTAGTTGTCAATCTGCCTGTATCACGTATCCAAAGTAGCTTTCAGAACTTGTAGGTATCCTGTATGAGATATGTATCTGGTGGGAATAGTTGCTTTACATGTTTCTAAAATCATGGTTCTTTGCCAAGATTTTTGTCTATAAACATAAATTATGAACTTAATTTCTCCCTTTCTAATATTTTAAGCTAAGAATAGAACTGAAGTAATAGAGTAAGTGATATTTCACATCTCTGAAGAATACAAACTACAAGAATGTAGATCTATATGAGTATTGTTGGGGCTGGAGGAAAGAAGGACGCTCAGCAGAATAGTGACATGCAAATGTACTGAAACACACAAGAGTTATACTCTGCTCTGTAGTACCAGTGTATGATCACCGTCAAGCTCGTAGTCATTAGGGATTATCCCATTTTCAGGGTTCTTAAATGGTTTTAAATCCAGTTACTCTGCAGTAGTGTGAATGTATGAGTGCATGTTCACATGTGTGTCCAGGCAGGTGCCATATTTTATGTGGTAATTGTAGTTCCATAGTTTCTTTTTAAGTTACATGTGAAAAATAGAGTCCAGCATGTTAGTTATACCTGAAGAATACAATATTATCTTCACTAAAATAATAGCAAATTGATACAAGGATCATTTTTAGCATGTATATGGAAAAGGCACTGCTAAATCAGTCTTTCAACTCAACTGAATTCCTTTAAGTTTGCCCGAAGTTCTGTCTCTAGTAATAATGCAGAGTAATCAATCCATGACCTATTTATTTGTTCTAAATTACTTTGGTGAAGAACAAAATTTGAACTGTTTGGAATCCTGACCATTGACTACGGTTTTTAACTAGTATTTGTAATAAATCTTTCACCTTTCTTATCTAGAAGAGCAAATGAATGGTTTCTTTAAAGAATATTTCCTCTGTCCTCAAAGCAGTTCTCAAAATAGTCATCATCTTTTGGTATCTTAAACATTACCGAAACCACAGACTAACAAGAATTTCTGGTCACCCAAAGGTGATTGCTATGAAAAAGGTTTTTCTTTGAACTACTTTAAGAAAGAGAACACTTTTACTAAAAGAAAAATATTTGGCAAACAGCTGTTGTGTTAAAACTTGCTTCCAATTGCCAGTTGTTCCTTTCCATCATTACAGAGATGAAGGGATTGAAACAACAAAGAAAATACATGGAAGGAGGAAGAGGTGGAGGCAGAGAGAATGCAAATAATGATAGGAAAGAGGTGTACCCTTCATAATAGAAAGAATGCATAAATACAAAGAAATTGGGGGTTATGGATATGCATGTGTAGTTCAGCCAGGGAAGCAAGAAGGTGCAGAAAGAAGTGGCCAGGTGTCATTATAAAAGAATATGTCATTTCTTCTGTTCTTGTCTTGGTCTCAACAAGGTTGTCATGCTTGTAATTGATTTAGGGATGCTAAGTTGACTGTAATCTAACATATAAACGTGATCTAGACCAAATTCCTATAAGGCAACCAGGGCACATTTGTCAATCTGGTTCCTAAAGATCAGTATTAGGGAACATAAGCAATGTAATATAACCGCTACTGAAGCAGGATATGTTTTTTAAATTATTTAATTACAGTGTGGAACTAGAAGCAATACAATATTTTTATTAAAAAGGGAGTTATTGCATGGTATTGCTACAGAGCAGAATTACTTGAGTCTTCAGCTGCATATAATTGCATGATTGTTCCTTCAACTCTTAATATTTTGTATTTTCATAATGATTGACTTGTGATTGACTTTGAGATCATTATAACATCACTAAATTATCAATACATATTTTCAGCTGTAACTCCATTCTACTGCAGTACTTATTTTAAGAATATATGTGTATATAACTGTATACACATATATATACACACACACGTATGTATACGTACATAGCCATATATATGAAACATCAGACATTTACTGTTTTAACTGTTGTTTAATGCTTCTGTTGTTGATGTTTGTACTTAATATATTTTATGATCTTGTGCAAATTATATCAGAATAATTAGATGTGATTTGAAAAATATTATTATGAGTTCTTTTTCTATATTGAATACTAACTTCTGTCAGGCTTTTTTACTTGTTAATCTTTTCCTAGTTCAGCAAGTCTTTTGGAAATAAGAAACATTTAAATGAGTATATCCAGCACTTACACTTCATTTGGAATTTCTGTAGGCTATGGTCATTCAGATGCAGACGTTCTTCACCAGTCTTTACTTGAAGCAAATATTGCTACTGAAGTTTGCCTTACAATTCTGGATACTCTGTCATTATTCACAATGGCTTTTAAGGTTTGTTCTTGACTTGCTGTTAACATCTTCCATAATTATCTTTCAGAAAAAATATTTTAAAAAATATTTTTAAAATTATGTTTCTATTTTATAATCTAGTAATGTAGCATTGCATATTTCATTGTTTTGTCACGTAAAAGCTGATAACCTCTGGCAGCAAAATGCTTTGACATCAGTTAACATTACACACAGACTCGCTACTGATCCGTAATCTGTGCGAAAAGCTTCTTCCTCATCCTAACTTCCTAAGAATATTTCTGGAAGCTTCAGTGTCTACCTAATATTAGTGCTAAAACTGTCTTTTAAAGACCACGTGAGGTGAATGATCAACTGTATGGCAAAACCGTAATTCATAATTGAGCATTATGAGACTTTTATATTGAACTTGGCTTCTTCTTACATTAAGTCACTCATTAATTAACAGTAAATTGTGTATGTTCCTTTTCTGTAACTTTATTTCATGTTGGCCACTAATAAGACGCTAATAAGATTCAAATTTAGTGCCTTACCTTTAATCTAGCTCTGAAAGCATAAGCTTGTTTCTAATGAGATTCCTTTTATTAGTAATTGAATTAGATAGAGCTTAGAACCAGTTCTGTCCACAGAATTCATGACAGAATTGAAAATGAAGATATAAGGAAGTTTTAAAGATTTAAGGAAGAATGAACACGGAGGGGAGTAGCAGAAGATGGAAGACCTAGTAGAATCACGTTGGAGGGCCAGTAGAGTCAGAGGGAGCAATACTTAAAATGGTCCTCATTTCTGGACTCAACTGAGGAGTCCCTGATTTGACTAACCTGTTTTGGTGTTTTGTAAGAGGAGAGACCTCGTTGTCTTGTCGTAGAGTCCCATAGCAACCCAGTGCATATGCTTAGTGGACAAAGGGAGAAACTAGGTCCCCAGTGCAAAATGGAAGCAATATGAACTAGTAAAGGTAGCCGGTACCTGTGCTAGAGAAATCTGAGGAGACTGGATGTAAGGCAGCCATTGGTGATACAGAAATCAAGAGTAACCCTGTGTATTGCATGCCTCAGAATGAGTTTGAGAACATTGATGCAGATAAAACGCTGAAAAATAATTAATACTTCTGTCCTTAAGAGCCCTTTCAGTGTCAGATCTAGGACAATAATGAAAGATGGTGAGTGGGTGGGGGCTTGGGGGAAGTTTTTTTGAGAGCATTGTAGTAGGAAATACTGCTATGAGAAAATTCCACTGTCTGAGCTACTAAAGCCAGTGTAACCGAAGTGTGTTAATACTTTGATCGTGCCTCTCGAAGAACTGTTAATAATTTATTTAATTAACAGCTCTTCAAAAGATTGGGTTCTATAAGTCTATTCAGGAAGCCAACACTTTCTGTATAAGCAAGATTAATGAAGTGTTAGAAATATCTAACTAAAATTCTGATATGTTCGTATTATTCAACATCTTGGTAATACTATGTAGAGGTTTTTTTTAAATTTCCTGCTTTTGGGTGGTCTGTATATGTTCTTGCAATAGTATAAATTTATCACTGCACAAAACTCTTAAATTCTCACTGTCAATTTAAAGAATCAGCTACTCACTGATCACGGGCACAATCCACTGATGAAGAAAGTATTTGATGTATACCTCTGCTTCCTTCAAAAGAATCAGTCTGAAACAGCATTGAAAAATGTCTTCATTGCTTTAAGGGCACTTATTTATAAGGTAAGAAGTTTTAAAATAATTAATCTTCAAATAATTATGCAGTTTTTTAGTTAACAGTATACTTTGTAAAAATTGAAGAACTAAAATCCCAAATTAAAATTGGTAAATAAGGATTGATCTGATCCCAAGAGTGTGGAATACTTGTCCTTTGAATTGCTGTAAAAATCATTTTGTGTCATGAACTAATATGACTGTCTATTTTTTTCACAGTTTGGGAATATTTATATGTTTGTGTTTGTCTTGACCTGTTTATTTTATCAAGAACTGAAGCTGGGTTTAATTAATAATTTGCTTCTTTTCTACTTTTTCCCTCAGTTTCCTTCTACGTTTTATGAAGGTAGAGCTGATATGTGTTCTGCACTGTGCTATGAAATTCTGAAGTATTGTAATTCCAAACTGAGTTCAATTCGTACTGAAGCTTCACAGTTACTGTACTTCTTAATGAGAACTAATTTTGATTACACAGGGAAGAAGTCTTTTGTTAGGACTCATCTGCAGGTTAGTACACTTTATTTTTTATTTTTTATATACTGTATTTGTAGATGCGCAGTTGCATACCAGTGTGCAAAGCCCTGTCAGATAAAGACGCAAAAGAAATTATTTTGGGTTCAAGCAAGGCTAGTACTATTGTAAGAGTAGGAAGATGACAATAAAACTATGTTCAGTACAAGGAAATATTTAGAAACAATTGGATGGCCCTGTGGTTCGTAGGGAATAATTGTCAGTAGTGAATGTTCTGTTTTGTCGCTGTTATTTTGATTGTTAAATTGCATACCCCATTGCATATGAAGAAAAGCAACAAGCATATAGGAGTCTGAAATAAAACAAATACACAGAAAATTGTGTTTTCTGACAAAGCAGGGAACAATAGTTTACTGCTTTTATGATCTCTGGCTTGTTCATCTAGCAGACAGTCTTTAGAGCAGAGGATGCATGTGCATTAAATTTATACAAGCCTGGTTTTTTCTTGCCTATGTTATTGTACAAATAACTTTGGTAAAAAAATCATATGTAATTTTACTTAAGGAAATAATCTTTCGATTAAAAAGAACAAAACTTCCTTTGTAATTGCTTCATAGGTACATCTCAAGAGTAATTCATGAAATATATACTAACAAGACATTTGTTTCTGTCAAGGTTATTATTTCAGTAAGCCAGTTAATTGCTGATGTTGTTGGAATTGGAGGAACTAGATTTCAGCAGTCTCTTTCCATCATCAATAATTGTGCCAATAATGACAGAATTATAAAGGTCTGTATTCTTCTTTCCGTACTGCTGAAGGATGCTTGAAAAGTCTTTCGTAGCATCTTTTGCAATTATGTTTCAAACTTTTATAATGCAAAGAGTAGAAAAAGATAGTAGTTAAGCTAACTTTTCCATGTTTTAGCACACTACGTTCCCTTCTGATGTTAAGGATTTAACAAAACGGATTCGTACAGTACTGATGGCTACAGCTCAGATGAAGGAGCATGAGAATGATCCGGAAATGCTTGTAGACCTCCAGTACAGTTTGGCAAAGTCTTATGCTAGTACACCTGAACTAAGGAAGACATGGTTAGACAGTATGGCAAGGATCCATGTTAAAAATGGAGATCTTTCAGAGGTAAGAGGAAAAAATCAAACTAGTTTTTAGCTTTGTAATAAGCTTAAGCTTATCTTTCTTTAAATGGATTGTATTATTTCTAGTTGTTTGTGTGTAATACAATAAGCATTTTTAATAAACTTTGAATTGTTAGTAGATTAGTTTCAGTGGCCGGTAGGTCCTACCTAAATATACATGTAAGAGGTACACATTTCTGATTACTAATGTAAGTTAATGTATCTACCGTAGCTGACATGCTACTAAGCCAGGAATGTGAATGCACAATGTAAACCATGGGAAACACAGACCACTTACTTAAAAGTATCTTTGTTATCAGCTGCTAAATCACTTAAAGCCACTCCTTGAATTCCTCTCCAGTTGCCTGTACAGAATTAACTTGATTCTGTTCCAGACTGCTTACTAAAAAGCTCCTCATGTTCTTAAAATTGACAAATTGCATTTTTTTCATTTGAAAAAAAGAAAGCTATCTGATTTTACTGTGCTCTTAAAGTATTTAATTCTAGCAAAAAGGAGAGTTGGACGTTTTTGTCTTGATGTAAGTATTTTATCAGCATACAGCATACAATTTTGTTTCTCTCTGGAAGTCTGTTCCCTCTGAAAGTAAATCATGTTGCATGACATAATTGAAATTCATAAACATGTCTGTTAAACTTAGTGTCATGTAAGCAAGTAAGCATCTGCTATCTTATTCATGTCTTAGTACTAGAATTCTTTTTTAGTAACACAGAAGGCATATACAATACTCTGTTGTTAGCTTGTATTTTGAAGAAAACAACTTCATCTCTCTCAGAAGACAAGCTCTTTTAGTCCTTTTCAGGTCTATTTTTATTTTTTTTATGAAAAACTTAAGAATCTTTGACTGTTCGACTAGATGAGAACCTCTGTAAATTACCAAACCCAATGCCATACAAAGTATGAATTAAAGAGAATTTCTAACAGATACTTACCTTTTTCCTTCACTTCAAGTGTCTGGGATTCTGGAGCCTCCATATGTGCACTGTTCAATTTGGAATTAGAATAACACTCCACTGTAAGCTTAAACCTTTTTAGTAAAAGAAGAATCTTAAATATTTTTTTCCCTTTGTGGAGAAAAGTGATCTGTGTCGACCTCACTTTTTTTTTTCTGAATTTTTCTTGGTCTGGAGCCAAAAGGCAGACAAAACAGGTTAGCAGAAGAACCATCAAAGGTTAAGTAGAATAATTAATAGCTCTTTTGTTTCACATAACACTTAAAATACAACCCAAAAAAGAGATTTGCCTGTTTTTATTATAGCATGGCTTTCCTACCTTGTAATTTTGTGATCTATGATCTCATATTGTGTACTGCTGTCCATGCTACTTTATACTTTGGTAAAGGAGTGAGTGTGCTTGCACAGTTATCATTTTGCATAAATGAGGTGGAGAATTCTTACACCAGTCATAGGATGTCTGCAAAGCAGCAAAAAGGAAGACCAAATAAATTCTCAGCCTAGCGCTCTTCTTATATACCTTGATTTTAGTAGTTCCATTATAATTGCAATTGATATTATTTCTGTTTTAGGCGGCAATGTGCTATGTCCATGTAGCAGCACTGGTTGCAGAATATCTCACACGAAAAGGTATGATTTTGAAACCTTACTTCAGTATTTATGGGGTTTTTTCATTTTATTTTTGGAAAAGCAACAGCTTCCTGGAGGAAGCTGTTAGCATTTTAGTGTTCACCAAGGAAAAAAATTCTGACCTAGGCGGATAGCATGCTCACATATTTAAGAGTATACTTGTGTATCTAAGGGACAGCATTTCAGATGAAGGTAAAGTAAAATTTTTAAGAAAGTAAGAATTTAAATTTTACACCAGAGCTGCTAATAGCTGAAGTCAGACCCTTTCTAAAGCAAACTTATCAGTGAATACTAGGCATTTTTGCTAAATACTTATTTCAGTAAAGAAAGTTAAATTGCTTTGGCTTTTTTTTCTTGCTTGTAGACTGACTTTCTGTGTCTACAGCTGAATAACCTTTTTTGTTGTCCTTAAATGATTTTGTATGGTTGATGTCAGTCCATTCATATTGCTCAGACAAAGCTGATATGCCAGAGCGTGTTCATGTACACTGTTCCAGCATGAGTTAAATACTGTAAAAGTTACCTTGATTACCTTAGACTTATGGTGGGGTGAATTAGATGCAGGTTTAAGATAAAATAGAAAGATTTCAGACACTCCTTATTTTGATTGGTAAGAGACTGTTCAAAGGTCTTCATTAAGAGGCATTAAAATCTGTGGTTTTTTAAAACCTCTTTATACTTACATAGTAATGTGAGGTCTGGTATTTTAATCATGCAGTGAGAGGCTGGATTTTTTTTATTTATTAATTTGGTGGTAAATATATTTAAACATGGCTTCTGCCTTATCCAGCATCACAAAATGCCCTAATATTATCCTGGTGGAGAAAAGTAAATTTGTCTATCCTTTTTTCAATGACAGGGATGTTCAGGCAAGGTTGTACTGCTTTCAGAGTAATAACACCTAATATAGATGAAGAGGCTTCAATGATGGAGGATGTTGGAATGCAAGATGTTCACTTCAATGAAGTAAGTAGACATAAGAGTGTTAGAATTGATGCACATTGAAGTGCTGTTTGCTTTTTCAAGTTTTGTGTTTCAATCTGGAGGCTCACTAATATGATGGGTATTATAATTGTTTCTTAGCTACTATTCTTATCCTAAAACTAAAATAAAACATTTCTGTGAGCTGTCTGAGCTTTAGAGAATTAACTATATAGATATATTTTAAACAAAGAACTAGCACATCAACCTAAGACCACTACTGGAACAAAGGTAAGCAAAATGGATTGTTACTTGGATTTAGATTGTTACTACACCAGGAATCATGGAAATGCATTCCCTGGTTATTGCTGGTCTACAGCTTCCCTAAGCAAATATGCCATAACAATGAAAGTGGTTTTACTTGACACCAGGCTTGCACCAATGTTGTTTTTACTGGCTTATGGTTCACTCTTTGTGTCTTTGCTGATTCATCTGGGCTGGCTTTACAGCAAATGTTACTATTAAGAAGCCTATATGAAAAAAAAGAATAATCTTGCTCATGAAGAGCTACATCTATGCAATATATTTGCCTCCCCCCAGATGTGGGAGAGAGGGACAGGACACTACTTGTAGTAACTGTGTTGGAAAAATCCCTGATGTGTAAGCATAGTTGTACAACAAAATTGTGGTTTAGTTTGTATATGGTGAAGGTGTATGACAAAATTATTTGACTGTGTGATTTGTTGCTATGCCAACAGATTTAGGAGGAACAAATGAAAGAATCAGTGATTTAAACCTGGGTTTAGGCCTGGGATACCTGTGTTTTACTCCTAAGTTCTGGTACTGCTTTGCTCTGTAGTTCTAAGACAAAAATGGTCAACTTGCTTTTTCCGGGAAGGCAGCAGTTGGAATTAAGAAATATAGTGCTTTTTCTTTCCAAAGATGCTCAACGGCAGATTGTTTTTTTTGAATTTATGTGCTGTATTCTTTAAATCACTGGTTTTCCTGATCCAGCATGGAATTTAGCATGTTACTCAACACAAAAAGTAAGCTGCTCTAAGTGAGCCAAGAGTTGGGTTTCTAGTGACTACTGCTGATGGAAACTTTTTGTTAGAAATTCTTGTCAGTGTCTACCTGACAAACCATTTGTCAGAGCTAAATTATTTTTTAGTTTTTAATTTGGAATGTCTTCATTCTTTTTCTCATCAGTCAATCCCCACAAAAAGCATATACTGCTTTTTCTGTGTCATTGAAGCCTACACAAATTTATTTCCATCTCTCAGTATTTCCGTGGAAAGGAAGTAAGCCAAGATTGAAATTATAAGCCTGTGTAGCTTGCAAAAGGATCAAACATGGCCAAATTTCATTTTTCCTTGCATGCAACCCCTTTTAAACTTAAGCGTAGAATCACTTGGTTGGAAAAAGACCTTTAAGATCATTGAGTCCAATCAAGTAGTGCATGTAATACTTTAACTGATTAAATGTTGAACAAGGTTTGTTTTTCAGTTAACTTCTTATAGTTCATCCCTGGAAGAGTAATAATAATAGGGAAGAACCATTTGGTTTTTAGTAGACTAAAAACCGTGGATAAATTAAGATGACCAGTATTTTACAGAAGTACTTCAAAACAGGTAGTCTAGTTGCTTCATAACTAGGAACATATTCATATGGAGTTTTTCACCAGTATTTTCTTATATAAGCAAAACTTTATCAGTTGAAGAAAAAAATCATATGACAGATCAATTGGGTGCAGAAAGCAGAAACATCTCTCAAGCTGTACTTTACTACTGCTGAGCAATATGATGGTCTGATGGGAATTCTTCCTATACATGGTCACAAGAGCCGTATGGAATTTCTTTCTTAAAACTTAGGATTACCTTGGCTGCTAATTCCTTTACAGTTAAATCTCCAAAAGAGTAATTACAAGAATGGGGAGTCAGGGGAGATCCCTCAATGTTTGTAAAATGAGCAAAACCTATTTTCTGTTCTCCAGTTTATATAAAGCTTTCCTAATTAACTGAAATTTATCTTAAGACTTTATGTAGTTTCTCATTTAAAAATTTGAATTTTTAAAAATTCTTAATTTAATTATAATTTAATAAACCCAGGCCAGGGTTACCCTGACTAATTTCCTAAACTAGCCAGTTGAAAACAAAATTTTATTTTATTTTATTTTTTTTATTTTTTTTTTTAAAGAAAGTTATTATGTGTATTTCATTGAAACAGTTGTTTAGCCAGACAGCGTATCCAAAGCTTATTCAGCAGCAGAAGTCAAATTCTCCTTACAGAACTAAAATCTTCTGGGTGTCAAAAATTGGAAGGCTAAAGCATGTCCTTTCCATGCTAGACTTTGATGTAAGCAGTCCATCTGTGAGAGATCTGAGCTCTGGCTACCAGGCCTGTGGCAGTTGCCAGATTCCATGCAGATTAAGGTTGGAAAAAACTTCATTTGGATTTGTTGTTTTTTTCCAAAATAAACTCTGCCAGAATACAGCTCCACCACAGATACTAAGTCAATCTCTAACTTCCTATTTTTTTCTTGTCTTTTGTTAGCTATGGTTTTCCGTGAGAGGAATTGTTCTAGCTTGCAGATTGATAAATGAAAGAGCTTCACAGCTCAGATGGTATTATAGCTCTTTTATGTAATCAACTTGCAGTGTAATTCAATATATTAAAGCACTTTATGAGAAACAGAGATAAGTACTTACCTAAACATGCAAGACATTTTAAATATGGCTGTGAAGGCTGGTATTCCTCAGGGATACTCAGGCTAACATTGTTTAACATCTTCGTTAGCAATCTTGGTCATGGGATACAGTGTATCACTAAGTTTGCAGATGAAACTATAAATGGAAGGGGAATGATATAGATTGGGGAGCAGGGTTGCCATTTAGAGGGACCTCAAACTGAAGGAACACAGACACCTCTCAAAGTTCTACAAAGACAAGTGCAAAACCTCGCATCTGAGAAAAAAACACCCAATGTCTCAGTACAGGCTGTGAGGACTGACTGGCTGGGCAGCAGCTCTGCAGAAAGACCTGGGAGTTCTGGTGGACAAGAGGTTGAATGGGAATCAGCAGTGTCCCTGTGGCCTCAAATGCCAACTGGGTACTGGGTTGTATTAGGAAGAGCATGAAGGCAAGAAGTGGAGGAAAGTGGATTTTCCCCCTTCTGCTTGGCGTTTGTGCAGCCTCATCTGTAATCTTGTGCCCAGTGCTGCCCCCTAAAGTCAAGAGAGATATCAGCAAACTGGAAAAAGTCCAGCTTCTGAGGTGGTTAGTGGAAGATTCAGACTTTTTTAAGAGGTGTGCCATAAAAGAGTAAGAGGCTGTTTTTGTAGGTTACAAGGTAAACTCTGGATATATGAAAAAAATACTGCATGAGGATGGATAAGCACCAAGACAGATGGCCCAGAAAAGCTGTGTTCTTTTCCTCCTTCCTAGCAGCTCTCCCATATGAAGCTTTTATTCTTTATATTTTTTTCCTATGTGCAAACAAAATTTTGCTGCTTTGCTGCATTTGGATGCCCTCTGGTGTCTGAGTTAAGGCTTTTGTCATAAAGCAGTGCTTGCGAACAGCTCATGTGGTCCAGCAGTGACACTGGTTTTTCAGTTCACTGCCTGGTTGCTGAGAGTGGAGATACTGAGGAGTCCATACAACAATGACTGGGAGAAAGGAGGAGGTGTTTGGGGACTGTTGCAGCACACAGATAAAGGTAGCATTTTTTAGTCTCTCTTTGCTCTCAGTATTGAAGTTGTTTTTTCTTAGTGATATATTTATGCTGTCTTAGTCCTCTACCAAGGGGAGGAGGGGAATAGAGTAGAATTGGATCCTTTCTAAGGATAAAAGGAGTTATTTCCAGCTCCAGCTTCACCACTACAATGCAAGAATAGTACCAGAAGGTCTCATGAAGTAGAAATGTCTTTTGACACCTCTCAAACTTGGATTCTCTTGGAGGTTCTTGGAGCTCCAGACATGTGTGAAGAGGACTGAGATGTGTTAAGGTATATAGATGGGAATGGACTTCTTCACAGTGATTCTGTCACACTCAAGCTGTGACCAAGTACAGGACAGCTTCATCAAAGGAGCTATAAGCTGTCCCATAATATCTGGTTGTTGTTACTTGGCTAAGTCCATGAACTAATTTATTTTAAATGTATGAAAACTAGAGCAAAATAACAATGTTATCTTAGTTTTGTTACACTTATTGAAGTAGAAGAAATCTAAATTCACAGAAAATAAAAAATTACGACAAACTGAAGGAAGTGACTTAATTATGATGTAACTGCACTAATGCAAAATGTATGCTTCCATTCTAACAAATTTTTATTTAACCTTACATAACTGTCTTTTCACTACAAGGATATTAGGATCAAACCCAACAAAGCCAAGGTGGTTCATTGCTTGAGACTCTGTTTTCACCCTTCAGGATTTCTTGGCTTCTCTCACTGTTGTTATATGGCTTTTCATTCTGGACCAAATTCCACTGTTGTACCTGGATAATTACTTCTGAATACAGATTTTACTATTTTGTAATTTTATTTTATTGTTGATGTAATTTGTTTGATAGTTTCCTTCAGAACCATTACAGTCAAGTGTTTGTAAAGCTGCCTTTTTAAAATAATGTTCTCTGTGCAAAACCAAAAAACCCCAAGGAAACAACAGTTTAAAAAAAAAAAACAAAAGCCAAAACCAAACAACATGTTACAAGGTAAGACAAGAGTCTTAATGTAAGACCTTGGGTCCTCACACAGGTGTCATTTATAGACTTAAGAGGTCAGGAGTATCTAAAAGAAAAATGCTGTTCATGGTAAATGCAAAGAGTACATGTGTACACTCAGAGCATTCTGATTTGTTTTGTTTCCTTTTAGCAATTTTTGATTGCCACAATAACTTAAATTACTATGTGTACAAATTTTCTTTTGAGGCAAGATCTTCCTTTTCATTAGGAAGAACTTTGGTATAGTTATTTGCTGTGCTTTTCATGAGTACTGTTTTAATTTTTCAATGTGTATCTAAATCTAGGATGTGCTGATGGAATTGTTGGAGCAGTGTGCTGATGGGCTCTGGAAGGCAGAACGCTATGAACTCATTGCTGACATATATAAACTTATAATTCCCATTTATGAAAAGCGGAGAGATTTTGAGGTATTAAATTCATGATAAGTAAATTTGAGCAAGCAAAAAAAAAAATCCTTATTTTTCTAGTCTTAACTGCATGACACATTGGACATAATAGAACAACAAATAGTATTAAAATTGTAACTGAAATATGAATGTGTTGAAGTTTTTTAAATTTTAAATAGCCAAAAATATTTTTCTTTAAATAAATTTAGATAATTAAAAATTAATCTTGCATATTGTCATTCTGATAGAAGTGCTAAACCTATTACTACTGCTCAATAAAAAATGAGTTTTGTTATTAACAAGGACATAATTTATTGTTTTAAAAGAGGAAAGTTTTATATTGTTCTTTTACCTCATTATTGTTTTTTGGGTTTTTTTTTAGAGGCTTGCTCATTTATATGACACTCTTCATCGGGCATACAGTAAAGTAACAGAAGTTATGCATACAGGCAAGAGACTGCTGGGAACTTATTTCAGGGTAGCTTTCTTTGGACAGGTGAGTATTAATTAACTTTCATTTGTCTGCTCTATGTAGTAAGAAAAACCTGAGTTTATTTTACAAGGTATATTATTTTGTCATTTATATTGATGCCATAATAAGTACAAGAAATACGTTCTATGAGAAATAATTAAACACCATCACTTTAGTTTAAAACACTTGTCAATTCCAATACATTTTTTCCTTATTTTCCTCAGTAAATTTTTTGCCTTTTTTTTTTCCCTTCTTTTATTTACTACCTTAAGGCAGCGGTAAGTTTTCTATAATGTCAGTTCTTAGCAATGTATTGACTTAATGTCTGTAGTGCTACAGTGTGGTTTGCAAGGCTGCTTCTTAGATTGGTATGCATTAATAGCCATTGCAATTAAAAAAATAACATTAAGTTCCATTTAGAGAACAAATCACTCTTTTCTATGCATCAGTACTGCATGCTTCAAACAAAAGTTCTGGCTGTGTCTTGAACAGCTTCACATCCTCTAATCTATGTTTAGAATGCATATGTATCAGTATGATATCACACAGTGTCAAGTAATACACTTTCTACGTGCATAGCCCAGTTGCTAATTGTTCAGCTGAGCATGGAGAATTGTAAAATACTCTGAGCAGTATAACTTTACATGTATTCTGTTGTCTTTTATAACTTTATAGCAATACCAGTTTACAGACAGTGAAACAGATGTTGAGGTAATTACGGTAACCGCTTACAAAGCAAGCAATGCAGTAAAAACTACTGCATTTCACCTTAGTTTGATGTGGGTATTTTTGTCAAACTAGCCTGTGTTTACACATGAGATGTTGTGCTTTTCTATTTTGTCTGTTTCGTTTATGACAAAAATATTTATTTTCTGGTTTCAAACATGTACTCAGACATGGCTTGTTTTAAACCAATGACCTGTTTCACTTTCCATGTACTCTATATTGCATTCAGCTATGGTTTTAAAACAAATGCTTTATGTAATGAATTAAAGAAATGTATGCCTACTTAGTACAACATAAATCTAAGGTCTTTACTTCTATTAAATTCATTTTCTGGAGTTAAAATTTTATTACTATCTAAAGAATTATTTTTTTTAAGATTACTGTTACGTAAACCATTGCTAAAATTCTCACTTGTGATTCAGGTAGTCCTGTTAGGCAACAAGATTTCTGTTTTGGCAAGTGAAACAGTGCTGAAATTTCACTTTTAAATAAAAGTGAAGAAAAGTTATCTCAAAGGCTTGGCACACCATAAAATTACAAGAAACCTTTAGAATTTTAACTTTGTGTGTTTCCATTATCTTTCATTCATTCTGTAGTAAATAATTACATTTTTCTCAGTTGTTTTTTTTTTAAATTCTTATTCTCTCAGGAAACCTTTGTTACATAGATTTTCATTTCTCTTTATTTACATTTGCTTGAATCCCAGTGTTAAATGTTCATACTTGCTCTGAGCCGCAAACTTTATGTTCATCTTAATAATTCCATTATGTGGCGGGTTTCTTTCCCCCAAGATTTTGATTACTACTATTTTTTTTTACAGGGATTCTTTGAGGATGAAGATGGAAAAGAATATATCTATAAAGAACCTAAACTCACACCTCTTTCAGAAATTTCCCAAAGACTCCAAAAACTCTACTCTGACAAATTTGGGTCTGAAAATGTCAAAATGATTCAGGATTCTGGCAAAGTATGATTACTTTTGTTCTCTCTAAAAATTTCAGATCTATTACTTCCACTAATCTTGAAATACTGTGGGATCACTGTCCTTTACTCATTTGGTACACAAACATATGTGTCTAAAAACTGTGCTGGTTGAAGGCCATGGGAGAAATTTAATATTAAATTTACCTTTAAGAAAAACAAAAAGAGTTAATTTTCATAGTGTTACCTCTCAAAGTAATAATTGTATCTTAGAACAGATTTGGATTATGATCATATCCTTTGTTATCTTTAGCTGTATTTCTTGTTAATTCATACAGTCATTCTTTGGAAGTTTTCCCTTCTCTGCACCTTGACAGCAGACTCCAAAGTTTCTTCTGAAATAAGAAATGGACCACACTTCTGAAAAAAGTACCACATGTAACTGATATTTTAATTCTGTATCAGTTGTTCTTGTTATCTTCTGCCTATGTCTTTGAGGCTGTTCGATTTTATAAATGCTTAAACCGTGGAAAAAAACTGCTCACATGAAGTACTCTGGTGAAATCTAGATCTGTCATAGAAAATGCTTTCCTTTGTAATTGAAGACTCCATAACTGGTGAACTGAGGAGGACTTCCAGTGTTCCGCAGGCTGAGAAGAACATGTGCTGCACAAGATGCTGCTCTGCATTCCTTTCATTCCCTTCCTCAGCCAAAATTTAACATTTGGCTTCAGATTTTATGTTGATTTTCTTGTAACATAATTTCCTGTATCTTCTGTTCCTTAATTCTTCCGCTAAGATCGCAAGCTGCTGGCCTTCTTGACCTGAAAGTGCAGCAATGGTGGGCTTTTCAATACCCCTACTCAAATTGGAACTTTAAAAGGAGAGGAAGACTTACATTAGGGCAAACGTTCATGCCATGGAAGGCAAGAGATTTATATTGTACTCTGTTTTTTCACAGCTCTTCCAGTGTACTCCACTGAATTCTTTACAATTAATTATAATGCTTCTGTTTGTCAGCATTTGTAGGAAACATATTCTTATCATCTGTAGCAGAATGAGTATATAAATTACCAGTTGAGTTCCAGTCTAATAATCTGAAAACATTGCATATTAAAAAAAAATGTATTCATAGCATCATAGAATGGTTTGGGTCGGAAGGGACCTTTAAAGGTTATCTAGTCCAACCCCCTCTGCAATGAGCAGGGACATCTTCAACTAGATCACATTGCTTGAAGTCCCGTCCAACCTGACCTTGAATGTTTCCAGGGATGGGGCATCTACCACCTCGCTGGGCAACCTGTGCCAGTGCTAAACCACCCTCACTGTAAAACATTTCTTTCTTATATCTAGTCTAAATCCTACCCTCTTTTAGTTTAAAACCATTACCCTTTGTCCTATCGCTACAAGTCTTATTAAGAAGTCTGTCTTTCTTATAGACCGCCTTTAAGTATTGCAAGTGTACAATAAGGTCTCCCTAGAGCCTCCTCCTTTCAGGCTGAACAACCTTAACACTCAGCCTTTCCTAACAGGAGAAGTGTTCCATCCCTCTGGTAATTTTTGTGGTCCTCCTCTGGACTTCTTCAACAGGTCCATGTCTTTCCTGTGCTGAGGACTCCAGAACTTTATGCGATACTCCAGGTGGGGTCTCACAAGAGCATAGTAGAGGGGCAGAATTGCTTCCCTCGACCCGCTCTCCACCCTTCTTTTGATGGAGCCCAGGATACAGTTGGCCGCTTGGGCTGCAAGCACACATTGTTGGCTCATGTTCAGTTTTTCATTCACCAGTACCCCTAAGTCCTTCTCTGCAGGGCTGCTCTCCATCCCTTCACCTCCCAGCCTGTATTGTTACTGGGGATTATCCTGACCCAGGTGCAGGACCTTGCACTTGGCCGTGTTGAACCTCACAAGATTCACACAGACCCACTTCTCCAGTTTGTCCAGGTCCCTTTGAATGGCATCCTGTCCCTCAGGTGTATCAACTACACCACTCAGCTTGGTGTCTTCTGCAAGTTTACTGAGGGTGCACTTAATTCCACTGTCTATGTCATTGATGAAGATGTTAAACAGTACTGGTCCCAGTATGGACCCCTGAGGGATACAAGTCATCACTGATCTCCATCTGGACATCAGGCCATTGCCCACCACTCTCTGGATGTGAGCATCAAGCCAATTCCTTATCCACTGAATAGTCCATCCATCAAATCTGTATCCAATCCAAACAAATTTAGAGAGGATATTTTAGGGGGCCATGTCGAAGGCCTTACGGAAGTACAGATAAATGACTTCCGCAGCCCTTCCCTCATCCACTGATGTAGTCACTCCCTCAAGTAACCAAGCAGCATGTTCCAGTAATAAATGAATAACAGAAGGGAGACCTTAGCTCTGTTTCCAAATTGCTCCAGGACTGACTTACCTGGCAACTTCATGCGTGTATTTGCATTGTCCTTTTTCACATTTAGTTTATAGAAGTGAAATGCCTCAGAGACAGGCAGAGAATAACACAAATGTTTGATGTGAGACTAAGATGGTAGGCAACAACTTAGAAAGATGCACACGTTTACGGTGCCTTCTTTATTCAACGGTTGGGGGAATTTTAAAAAAAATAAAAATCCATGGTACTGGAGATTAGTTGCCACTCTTATCAAATTAAATATTTGCTAATCAATGCAGCTCTTACTTACCTAGTTCTAGAAACAAAATTAACTGAATAGAGAAGCCCTCAATTTGCCCTGCTGCCACCAGTATATTTTTTGGGACCCTCATAGGGTGTCAGAGTTGTGACAGCCAGGTTGGGAGGAGGGCCTTGTAAAGGTGATATCTGGACTATTTACAATGTAGGGGGTTTAGTTTTAGTTATTAACTGTTTTTTATATCACTAACCATTTTTGGTCTCCAGTCAAACACTTGTATCAGCCATGATGAGTATTCGTTTCTGGGTTTTCTGTTTCTGTACCTTCACTTGAGATTCAGTGTTAAGTATAGGTAAAACTCTGATGTTTTGCTTCCAGTTCTGCATATAGCAAATATTATTAATAATAGTGATTAAAAAAACCCACAACACAATGTGTAATGCATCTGGCTGTGTTGTCTTCCTAGTAGTTTGAAACTGAAATCAGGGAAGCCCCATGAGAGCATTAACATTTCTTATGTTTCAGTAATTTGCAGGTTAAGAGGCCAAATTTCTGAAATATTTGTAACTACAATTAAATCCACTTTATTCACAATGTAGCTATTTGATTTTTTTTTTGTAATGTTTTTAAGGTAAATCCTAAGGATTTAGATTCAAAATATGCATATATACAAGTTACGCATGTAATTCCATACTTTGAAGAAAAAGAGTTGCAAGAAAGAAAAACAGATTTTGAAAGAACTCATAACATTCGTCGCTTTATGTTTGAGATGCCTTTTACTCAAGCTGGTAAAAGACAAGGAGGAGTAGAGGAACAGTGTAAGCGGCGGACTATTTTGACAGGTACTGATTGGATGGAAACTTCCTTTAAAAGAAAACTGCTCTTTTTATTTTGTTTTTTATACTTAATTTTTGATACTAGGTTTTTCTATATGTTGTGCATTTTATCAGAAAAACATCCTTTAGAAGATTTCACACATGACTGTTGGAAGTAATGAGATTTGCAAAGTATATCGAAATACATTTAGATAACCTTTTAAAGTTAGTGCATACTTGAAAATAATAGTGAAAACTAGGCTTTCAGATTTCATTCTTCAGAGGATGCTCCTCAAATGTTTTTTAATCTTTTTTTCCGTAAGCTTCAAGAATTGTGAATCTTGAGTCTAGTGTTCTTTGTTCTTAGCAAAAGACTGTTATGTGTTTTGTCTCTTTTAAGTGTGAGCTTTCATATCGCTGTCTTAATATAGTGGTAAAAACAACTTAAACAAGTGACTTTATAACAAACTGTCCATAGCTAATACTTGTGAGGAAATAGAAAATACAACCTTGCTATTCTCATATATCCTCTTTGAGATATGTGGAATATAAGCAATTTGTTTTATAGTTCTCACATTCATTTTCTCTCAGATTTTCATCTTTCTGGCAATATTTCTAATTACATGTTATTAACTTGGGCAACTAATTACATCAGAATGAGGTTTTAGCATAAAATTCTATCAAAACGCACCTTATTAAAAAACCTTTTTCCAACTTATTTCCCTCCGTAGCTATACATTGTTTCCCATATGTGAAAAAGCGCATTCCAGTAATGTACCAGCACCACACAGATTTAAACCCAATTGAAGTAGCCATTGATGAAATGAGTAAAAAAGTTGCCGAACTGAGGCAGCTTTGCTCTTCAGCTGAAGTAGATATGATTAAATTGCAGCTGAAGCTACAAGGAAGCGTCAGTGTTCAGGTAAGACCACATATTTGTTATTCAGCTATTTCTCTTGCCTCTGTCCCTGAAAAACTAAGTAGCATTTTTATCATTAGTTTCTACTTTCTATATTCAAGAATGTCATAAATTAAAAATATGTTCACTATTTGCAGTTGTTTCCAGAACAGGAAAAGCAATAAAAGTATTTCATAGAAACACTGCTCATGAACAGTTATATGAAAGGATTAAGATCCATCTGTGGTATTTATGGTGGTCTGAGCCCCACCAGGTTTTTGGTGTAAAGCTAAAACTACTGTAAAATAGTGAATTCCCATCTTGCCTAGATGTAGGTCTGCTCACAGTAGGTTTAACATGGTCTTCATTGCTTTTGTATTTTGGTCAGATCCCTATGAAGATGAAGAGGGAGTGCCAAAGTATAGAAGGAGGGTAATAGTAGAAAATCTTACTGCACAACATTACGTTTTGCCTAAGGCAAGCAAGAACAGAATGTATAAAGAAACCATCAGATTCACCAAAATAGCGTACATAAAGCAGTTGTAGCATATGCAAATCAATGTGGTAGGGGTCTTAAGAATCCAATGACAAAAGTGATGCTCTATTATTTTTAACTGAGGCAAAGCAAAGGAACAGATAAACAGTTATCTGAAATGAACCATTGTCATGTTGAAGAGAAATTAAAAAAAAGCACCACCAAGATTCAGAATCAGGAAGCTGTCAAGCTAGCATTTGAGATGAGAGGGAAGGGGCTTTTACTGTTAATGTGAAAGAATAATAGGGATGAGTCAGAAATCGTTGAATCCACTTTTTGCCAGAATAGCGCAATTAAATTTCTGCTAATTATTGCAGAATTTTCAGCATGGAGGAATGTTTTCAATAGATAAGCAGACCAAACAGTAGTAGAATTAGCCCATTTTCTTCATTTCCCACCATAATTTCATAAACAGATGACAAATTGGTGATATCAGCAGTTACTTTGCTACATCACTGAAGTGGTTTCTTTGTGCCAGGACACGTTCATACAGTGCTACAGAGACCTCTCCCGCTCTTATGTTCCAGCTCCATGAGTTTTCTTATTTAAGTTTTCTTCAGCTTTTTTGAAATCAGTATTTTCTCCCAAGAAAAGCAAATCAGGCAGAAACCTGTACTACCTGTTGTTGCTAAGACAATGTATCAGAGAACTGACTTTATTTTGTGATTCTTGTTCTTTTTAGGTTAATGCTGGTCCATTAGCATATGCAAGAGCTTTCTTAGATGACACAAACACTAAAAGATATCCAGACAATAAAGTAAAGCTACTAAAGGAAGTTTTTAGGTATGTTTTTTTGGGGAAAAAAAAAGTTACTTTTTTTTAAAGATGAATAATAAGATTGTTTTTTTTAAAGCTTTGAACTTTTACAGTGTTCTGACTGCATTCAAAACATACTTTAAGCCAGCATTTTTAATTAATCTTTTGAATTTTGTGTTCCTGATTGAGGTGTTTTTTAATTATTTTATCTAAATCAGGCAATTTGTTGAAGCTTGTGGGCAAGCGCTGGGTGTAAATGAACGACTTATAAAGGAAGATCAGTTGGAATATCAAGAAGAAATGAAAGCCAACTACAGAGAAATGGCAAAAGAACTTTCTGAAATAATGCATGAACAAGTACGTGCTGAAATTAAATGATACATACCAGCATTCAGAATGTAGCAGTAATGTGAACCCACTAGGAATGTAATGCTTAACATGAAAGGATTGTTTTGGTTTGTTTTGTTTTTCTACCGGAGTATAAGTGTATCATGGAACTGTGGACGTCATAACTTCTTTTCTGTTTTTGAATTTTCTGCAGATGCTTTCTTGACCTTCAGAATCAAGTCTTCCTCATTAAGAAAGTAAATCTGGTTGTCACCAGCCTGTTTCTTTTTTTTTTTTTGTAGGAGGAAGAATACAGTAAAGTTAAAACAAATTTAATTACATTAATATATATATGCCATTTGTCCTTCATATGTGTAGTTACAAGGGTCTCTCTATTCAGTGACCCAAAAAGGAGTCTGTATTTCCTGGTAACTGTGCAGGGCTTTGACATGCAAGCTTAACCCTTTTTCTTCAGATTTTGGAGGTATAAGTGTTTACTTTTGCACCAAACTGTTAAACATCTTTGAAAAGGTATTCCAATACATTTTCTTGAGGGGAATCCACTACAGACAAGCAGGAGATGCGGGAAAAGAAAAACTGGAACTCTTGTGGAGTGAGATGTAGGACCTTACATCTGGGATCTATGGTAGAAATGTCTCCTGACTTCAGAGGCAAGGATATTATTTCCAGGAGGACAGGAAGGGCTGAAGATTCATGTTTGATCCATGCCTTCTTGACAATTTTAGTCATCATATTCATGACTTCAGTGCCTTTTCTTTCATCCACTGTTACTTGTATAATCTTTTTCGGAGCCATAGAGTGCCTCGTAGATCTTAATGCTCAATACTTGTCTTTCTGGCCCACAAGAAATACCTGTGTTTGCTGACAATATTTTACCTTACACATACATGTATCTATGAGACTTTCGTAGATGCATGACCATAATAGCAACTTTTCTTAGTCTAGGAACCAATGCATCCTCATCTGAATAACAGGTAGATACAAAAAAGAGCTATGAGTTTCTCTTGTCCATGCAAAAGCTATAGGCTTTACTCAGAAATTAAATTGTAGAGGAAAAAATCAAACTTGAGACCTACCTGAGGTGTTCAGTCTAGGTGACATTTAAATGCTCTGTTAATCTTCCAGCTTTTTTTCAGGATTGTATGCTTTAGATATACAATTGCTTTACCCATTTACTATTTTTCAGCAGCTCTAAATTATTTGGTTATTACCTGAGAAATACTTGCTCAAAAAGCTAGTCAGCTTGGTGGTATAACAGCTTATCCATAGGTTTATCTAAGAAAGATTTGCTTTATTCTACCCTTGCTTAGATGGTATCCAAAACTTCTACAGTGATTTTTTTTCTGTTCAAAGATGTGTCAAAATTTCACACACTTTCTTGCTGTCCATTCTTTCCTGATGTGGTTTTCTCAGGTACTGTGCTATGAGTAGCTCTGTGATATGATATAATTATGGTTAAGCACAAGAATACGGCAAGAGCGTAGGCTTTATTTTCATTATTCTTCTGTTATACTATCACTGGGAAAAGCTTACCACAAAACTAACTTTTTTTACCACCAGTGACAGAGAATATTGTGCAATAAGGTCTGTAGGGAGTGATAGCATTTTTCCAGAACCCATGTGGTTTTGGTTTTTTTAGTAAAAACCAGTATCTTTCAAGTGTGTGTGTAGAGGAAAAAAGTTTTGAAAGATCCTTGGAACAGGAACAAAGATGGCTTAGCTGGCAAAAATGAGGTAGCTTGACTGTATTTCAACATGATGTATTGAAAATCAGGAAGCAATGGAGGGTTTTAGAAAGGAGGATAACTGGTTGGACAGGTGATTAAGATGAATGAGGTATATGGGAGAATTAGCTGTCCAGAAGACACTTTCAGAAAAGAGAGGGAAATGTTTTGGTCTAGTAATTTAACGATAAGGGTAATAAATGAAAGAGTAATATTCCCCTGGCATAGGAAAAAAAAAAGGATATACTGACAGTCTGTACACAGTTTGTACAAAAATACGTTGAACTCAATGCAAGATATGTATGTTTCAAAACTGCTCAGATGTGTGAGGTTTCCAAAGATTGATGAAAAAGAAAGAGCATGTAATGCCTGAAAATTCAGGAGTGAATCACATTAGCTAAAAGTAAACAAAGGGAAGAAGTGGCCAACAACTGATACCTATCAAATAGTGCGAGCAGAATGTGAAAGTACAGCACTCACTGCAGTAATGTTCTTTTTCTATAAATGTATTTAGTTGCAAATAATTAAAACATGCTATGTTGTTGAGTTAGTTGGGTTTTTTTCTTTAAAAAATGAGGTTGATCACTTGCTGAAGGCTTAAGATCATGAGGCTCTTCACTGAAATCTTTATAATGTTACCTTTTTGTGCCTGCCTATTGCTGTATTTGGAAAAATGCTTCTCACGATGATTGTTCTAATGTCACTGCAAAAAATCTATTCGCTGTCTTATAATAGTGGGGATTTTAAACAATTGAAAAATTTTGTTATGAAACATAAAGAAAATAATCGTAACAGATTTTTCTTTTTTCTCCTCCGCTGCTTGCCAATATGATCAGATGGGATGGTAATTAGTTTTCTTTACTTCTGCTCTTAGTTTGTCTAATCTTTATATAATTATTTTCTTTCTGATATATCTCATCTTAGCATCAGTAAATTTATAGCTGTTAGAATGAAGTCTTTTTGGTGCTTTTGTAGCTTTTGGTAACAAATGCTCAAATCTTACCTCTTAAGTCAAAAAGAAAACACAACCAAAAAGGGGCAAAAGGCGAGGCTGTTGTCCTTCTGAAACTCCTTTTGAAAGTTAGCAAGAGAAATGAGAGAACTTCTTCAGTCTTCCCCTAGAGAGAACAGCGTAATACCTAAATTAGGAGAACTGATATTGGAGAAATAACTGCTGCCCTCCTGAATCTAGCGGAGGTTGAAAAGAGAAACCATCCCCAAAAAGGAGTTCTGTACAGTTGAGAAAGTACTAAAAAGTTGAGTCGATAAGCAGCACGTTATGAAATCGGATAGTTGTTTTATAAATAAATGCCTGTGTCCTTCTGTAACATTTTGGTAAATACATGTTTTCCATTTTAAGATCACTGCAGTTGAAGAAAAGGCCAGTGTTATTCCTAATTCGCTGCACATTTTCAACGCCATAAGTGGAACTCCGACAAGCACAACAGTTCATGGGATGCCCAGTTCTTCTTCAGTTGCATGATTGTTTTGTAAAGGAAAGTATGTTCGTTTTTTTTAAAGTATGTGGATTTGCTTTATTGTGTGCAAACTCAGGATGATTTTGAAGCTAAATGTTGGGCACGTGCAAGCTGCATCATTTATACGAATGTCTGAGCACACTTAGCAAAAAGCAGTTACTGGTAATAGTCTTTTAGAGTAAGGGAGGCGCACATATATTTTTTAATCTTGCTGGTAACATTTAAAAGTCTTCACAATGTCATTGCAAAAGTGCGTGTTGGAAAATAATAAAGTCGAAGTTAATTTCTCTTTTTCATTAGAAAGTATTATTAAAATGAATTGCACATTACATAAAAGTGTTGTGGGATGTAATTTTGCAGATATGTAACATTCAGGTGTTCTTTTTGTGTATGGCACATAGAGATTGATACCTAGTACAAGAACTATTTTGGGGCTAGACAGAGACACTAGTTTTTTGGGTTTAATGGAACTGACAATAGTAGTTTTTGTACCATTTGGCAAATTGTTGTGCTTTATTTTATACCTTGTTGCATTTTGGAGGTATGTGAGCTTAGATCTTATTCAACAACTAAATACAACCAAAGGTCTGTATTAATGAACACTGAGTTATACTAAAATATCAATAGTAGTAAATTGTTATGTACATATTGTTTGTTAATACAGTCCATACAGTCTGTACATAGATGTATTACATTTCTAAACATTTTTTAATATTCATACCAGCTCTTATCCTTCTGCTTTCGGTTTATTGTGAAAATTTGCTCATTCCAAGTATACGCAGACTTTGCAGTTCATCTATTCCTGTACATAAATAAGTGCAATATAAAGATGTATACAGTCTTTGCTATGTTAGGTTTATATGCAGTTATTAAAAGAAAAAACTTTTTTGCCAAAGCAATGGAGTATGTAATTGGTCATCATGGTTACTGTGGTAAATGGTGGTATAATTTAAAGCTTTTTCCATTTCTTATTCTTTTAAGACATTAATTTAGTAATTTTATATTTGGGGGAAATAAAGGTTTTTAATTTTATTTAACTGGCACTGTTCTGCTGTAATTAAACATTCTGTACTACATCTATATTAAAATGAAAAAGGTAGTTACTTTTCTCACTGTGTGCTCTGGTTTTTATTTTGGATTTGTCCCCAGGACTGAAGAAAGATGAAAGCTTGATCAAAAACCCTGGCTTTTTGCAGCTTAAGTATGAGATGAGATGCAAAACACTTCTAGGGTTTATTTCATATTCCTTGTCAATAAAAGGAATTCAGGTTATTAGTTAAGACATAGGTTTGAGAGACACTCCCATTTCTCCCCCTCTATCCTATATGCTTTTACTGTTCTGTTCATTTGTGGAAATG